GGTCTTGTAAATATTAACGGGTTCGAGTTCGAGTTTGCTTCAAACCCGACCCGACCCGACCCTTACGGAGCACTAGTCAGATTATCTTGAGTGCAAGCTCTGTAAAAAATTCTGGTTGTGTAAATTTTTATGATCTTCGTTCATCTATCTTTAGTTTTACGTGGTAAATTTTGTATAACTTCATTACATCAATACTTTTACAATAATTCAAACTTGTAAACTAAAATGCAACGAAAATCGTAAATATGTTAAAAAATTGATTTACATCCCATATGTTCGTTGACAACAAAAAATCTTGTCGACATGAAAATGACATTAATTTTTTGTGAAATAAAACTTTTGTCGATGAAATATTTTTTTCTAAAATTTAATCAGCTATTGCTAGTTAGATATAAAATGTCATTTACCGTGAACATTCTTCTTAGTTTTTAACGATAATGGCGCAAGTAGTACTCCAAACCAGTCGGGTTAAGTTGTCGAGTCGGGTTAGGGTCATAATTTTTAAGACTCGAGACCCGAATTAAAACAACCCATCGGGTCAGGTTCATACCATACTTTTGCATGACCTGTATTACATAATAAATTTAAATTTGACACAAATATGCTAAAACTCATTGAACAGTAAAATGTCTTACTGTCCGTAAATATTTATGAAATTAGTTATTATTATTCAAAAAAAAAATTATTTAGAAATAAAACTTGGCTTCATAATATTGGTGATGAATATCTTGCTGACAAAGCGAGTTTTTTTGGATAAGCTTACTAAATTGCAGCAGCATAACATTTGACGCTTTAAGCATATACAATTCGTGCATGTATGTGTTAAAATCAAGGATTTAAAATTAACTAGCATTGAAAAAATGAAATTATTCTATACAATTAATAATTTATAAGACACCTGGTAGAATATTCATATTGAAATTCATTTCTCGGAATCTCAGCATTGACATATCTGTAAAACTCAGGTTTCACGATAGTTGGTTCGATCGGGTTCGGGTTATGTAAATGCTGATCTGAATATTTTTAACAGTTCATTTGCACTCTCAGTTGAGGTTCAGATTTCTCTGAAACCCGATCCGACTTGACACCTTCAGAGCATTAGACGCAAGTACTCACATGATTATATTTTATATTTTATTAGTCCAGAATAGATATCAATGATTGGCATAATAGAAAATATGGTATATATATATTTTTCATTCATAACTTAATAGGTGAATTGAATATCTTATGTATAATTTGTCGAAATATGTAAAAACTTGACAATGAGAATAATTTAACAGATACTTAATATTTCAAAAAAATTAGTAGTCATATCATACATTTTTTTTTGCTTATTTTGTTTACAACAATGTTTATTGTAGCCCAAATCAGTTAATGTCCGAAATGAGCATTTCGGATATCCCAAATCGGATTGATCAATTGTGATGTTATCCGAGATCATTTGAATATCCGAAATGTTCATTTGGGATATTTATCCGAAATGAATATTATTTGCGATATTATCTGAAGTGGACATTTGGGATATCCGAAATTTTTATTTTGGAAATTAACGCATTTGGGACATAACATCATCATTTGACAACTTTTTTAATAACAATAATCTATCATTATTCTTATTGGGTCAACGTATATATTTTCTGAATATCGATATATAATATTTCGACAAAATCAATTAAAAGTGATTATTCAAGCAATACGAGCATGTATCATAATATGGAAGACATTCGACTGTGTCTTGCTTTATTATTTTTTTTAAAGGAACAGAGTTCAATAAAAAAAATTTTTTTTTCTGTCTGTCATTAATGAAAACAAAAAGCATAACTCAACATGCCTTGCTTAACAATTTTTAATTTTTTCTTGCTTCTCTACGCAAATTTAAATTTGATATTATTAATTATTATCTTTAATTTAATCAAAATAAATAAACTACCGTAATTTCAAGTTATGAAAAAAACTTTTATAATTTGTTCAAATGTAACCCCAGCGAATAAAAACACCTTTACTATAAAACGTATCATATACTCAACTTCTTTCATGTTTATTCTTTGCAAACACCCAATTTGGAAGTTTTGAAGTCTATAAACGAATAGATCTAATTAGTTGAGCAAAATGCATAACAAAGATGCCCGTGTCTGAATGCATGCATAGTAATAAAAAAATCTCTGTAAAACTCAACCATTCATAAAATAATAATTTTTTTAACATATATAAAGTTGAATTAGCTGTAACCTCTCTCCCGCAAAGAAATCGTTATTTTCAGAGCACATTCGAAAAGATGGGGTCTGAATGTGAAATAGAAATAGAAAAACCAATTTCGGCTATTAGATCGTTCATATTTTCACTGGATTTAAATCATGTCATTACTGATCATCATGATAGTTTAGCTATATGAAAGGTTCTTACTGATGATAACATTGTTACGAGAGAATTGGATTAGAATACATCTCGTTAATAGGCTTATCAAACAAGAAATTATTGATCTTTGGTCAGAAGTCTTCTGAATATGATCATCATTGCGATCATTATTCGAACTTTTCTATCTTAGATGTGGAAACTTTTAGAGAAATTACGATAATACCTATCCAAAAGAAGGAAATTTTTTACGACTACTTCCGAATGGAGATCTTTTATTGCTTCAAGTCCCTTATATTTATATATATACAGAAGCATCCTTAAAAAAATCAACAAAATTACCGTGTTTATTTACATCAAGACATTATATTTGGAGTGTAGATGAGATCAAAATTTGTCATCTTTTTCTAATCGATGAACGAATTTATTTCTCACTCGAAGATAAAAATATCATATATAACTTAAACATTGAAAATATGAATATTGAAAGTTTCCATATCATCCCAGATCGTAGATGGGAGGGAACGGTGTATAGTAATCGCGATAAAAGTTTAATCGCTGTATATTTAACAGCGGACTACCTAAAGTACGAGAGAAAATCAATCAAGTCTTGGATATATGTTCTTTCGGTGAAAAACGGCTTACAGATTTCATCAAGTGAGAAAATTTTTAGCTATTTGGTTTGTAATTTTTTTTCGCTATTGACTAGACTGACCGATCATTATGTAGGGTAAGTTGCTACTTATAATTTTTTAATAACATTTATCACCATCAAGGATACTGAAATATTGGTATTATATTCATGCCACGGATACAAAATCGAGTATACGATTATATATCCTTATGACCTTTCATACGAATGTAAGGGTGAATTTGAAATTAAAGAATCTATTTATAATTTTGCTGATGGTATTCAAAATTACATGATCATGGAAGATAATTTGCAATATAAACTTATGCTTAGCAATGTGGATCAAATCGTAATTGTCAACTTTAGTATTCCCGAGGATAAAATCAATGAGTTATATTATAAGATGGAACATGATCATAACTTAATTATTATTTCAAGTTTTAATGAAATTAAAAATTCGTGTTATACGCATGGAGGATTTTCACGTGATGCCAATACGGGACACTATTTTTGTATTGGAAAAAAATTGAGATGGGAATTCCAAAATCATGAACAAATGTACGGATTACTAGTTTATAAAGTGAGTGAAATGCAAGATCAGAAATTTCATATCGAACTTGATCGTGATCTACATTTTCGAAATCTTAAAATTTTAAGTAATGATGATATAGTATTCTATAGTGATTACGAGGTTCATATTTTTGGCTTTAACGAAAAACACGTACCATTGTACCTAGATATTATAATCATAATGTTGAAGAGTTTTATAGTTGTAAAACGCTTCAAATACCAAGCATAAAACTTTTAAGTGGACCAACATTTAAGGATAAATTGGACTTGATTAATGAAATCCTTAGTTCAAGAAAGAATCTCATAGAAATGAGCGATGACATTATCGAACATGCTGTGAATCGAATGGGAAACGAGACGTTAGGAGTTTCTTTGCAAAATTAATTAAATTGTTTACTGATGATAATATTATGCATTATAGAATTTGTGGTATTATAACAAAATATCTTAAGAAGTTAAATTTAGTGTTTCCCACTCATTATTCAAAATTCCTTTATATTACGTCATTTATTCCAAATCCATGTGTGCATAAATCTTATTTATCTGATAAAGAAAGGTTGATTGGTTATACTGAACATGCTTATACGGGTCAAATATATAAATATAAATTCATTCAAAAATTTTGGAATTATATTCACCGAATTAACTTTTATAATTTTTTGAATATTCAGAAAAATAAAAAAGCAAGGGTTATAAGCTTTATTATTCCTTATTTTGGTTTTACATCTTGTTCTACCGAATATAATTTCTGTATGGACATCATAAAGCCAAGTGACAACCAATTCGTTACTTTGGATGACCAAGCATTTTATGATAGTTGGAATGCTGAAGCATTACTTAATTTCAAGTGGCATACCTTTGGAAAATTTTATTATTTACTCTCTTGGTTATTATTTACCATGTTTGTGCACATTTTTGTGATTGGCACAACCTTTCCTGATATTTCAAATTATACCAGAAACATATTTTTGAGGATCAGTATTATTTTTGGTGTATATTATGTTTTTCATGAAATTCGAAAGATTATTTGGAATTGGCGCCGATATTTTAAAGATCAATGGAATTGGTTTGGTAATTATAAAGTACCTTTGATTTAGGTAAAATTTCAATAATGATTATTACTTATTTGTTTTATATTATTTTTAGATTTAGCTGCTTATAATGTCTCATTGTATACCGCTATATTTTGGTTATATTTTGAAAAACCTTCATTACAACTTATTTCTTTATCAATTCTGTTGTTATATTTTAAATTTATAACATTTTTGCGAGCACTTGACTATTTTGGCTCTAATTTTCTATCATTATTGGTGTAGCAAAAAGGATTACCTCTTTTATATTGATCTTATTTCTTATAATAATTGGCTTTGCACATTCGTTTTTTATTATTTTGGCTCCAAAGGATGTTTACAATTTGAATGAACCTTCTTATAATGACGATCCCAATAATCCCTGGAACCATATTCAGAAACCTGATTTTAATTCAAAACCATTTACCTCTTATAGATCCTCATTACTTACAGGAGATTCATCAGCTTCTTTTAATTAATTAATAACTTTTTTTGATTATTCACGTCGGCAAATATAAAAGCTCTGGTTTGCTGTGTTTATAATCAATTAAGGTTTTAAAGTAATATAAATATATAAAAATTGACAATGAGCTGATCAAAAGAAGTGGTATAATGAAAAAACTTGTCTAAATGGATAGAGAGGCTTTTATAGTGCATTATATTACTTAGAATGTCAAGGCTATTAAAAAACTTGATAATATTACAATGGATTGTAAAGTAAAAAACATTGCTTCAAGACTTAATTTAGCTTAATGATTGAATAATATTTTGTGAAAAATATTATCTCAAAAGTTTGTTTATTCTTTTCGAACTTTACACAATGTTATTTTTATTTTATTTATTTGCAATTACATTATATACGTTATTTATAAAACATTTTATTCTTTCTTCTGAATAATCAAAATTTTGGTATTTATAAATTAATAACTTGGTGACTATGAAAAAATTTCAAGATTTCAATCGTCAAATTCTTAAAAACATGATAAGCGAACATGTTTAATCTATGTACCCTTTGCCATTTATAAGAGTTAATAGAAAGTTTATTAAGTTTATTTTACATTTGTAGTGCCAGTTCTAACTTAAAAAAATTTTGGAGAATGAACAAAATATAGTAAATCTTTGTATTGCTTCATGAATGTAAGTACTTTTTATGTTTCAATTTAATTAAATTTACCTATAAATAATATGTAATTAAAAAACTTTATTTAATTGTAACCCAGTCTTTACTATTGTTGATCAATGTCAGTATAAAATAATAAGCCAATCAGATTTTCAATAATAAATATCTTAAGAAAAATGTTAATTTGAAAGAAATATTAAAAAAGAAATCAATTATTAATTTTGAAATATTATTATATTATATCATCCACAATTTTATTCTCTTTCTAACGAATATTTAAACATAGCAATTGAATAAAATTTGAGTTAGTTTTATTAGGGACAAAAGTGCCTTGGAATTTTACGAAATACGTGCAAAAAAATATATTTTACCATCACGCCCCTGACCACCACCCCTATGGATCCCACTTTATTATATAGTTTTTTTCTTTTGTTTTGTGCACACGTATTTTTTGTTTTGATTTCAAAAACGTTGTAAATATGTAATCGCATACAAACATCACTTAAGTTCGTGATCTTATTCACATTCATGATTGTGATTGTGATTGTGATTATGTTTGAGTACTATATAAATATACAAATGTTATTATTATTTTTTATTCTTATCATTATTATGATTATATTTTTTTATTATTATTAATACTATTATTTTTATTTTCTTTAATAATATATTATTAAATCCAACTATCTATTGAATAAAACTATTTAAAGTAATTTGCTTTACATTACTAATATATGATGATAATACTCAATCTCTCAATTTCTTCAAGATATTTAATTCATCTGAGTTAATCGAAATATTTAATGAATATCAAAAAACAAAACATGGTCATCCAAACAACCTAAAGTTTTTTTAATTGAAATTTCTTCTAAAGGTTCTTTATTTGGATCTATTACAGGTTCATTATTCTTCAAATTTACTATATATACAATTTCATCATCTGTTAACCTTTCACTACCTTTTAAACAATCATCAATATAAATAAGATCTCTTGCATCCATAGGATCATCAAATAGAAGTAATTAAATCAACTCTTGTATTTCTATATTATCACGAATTACTTGATCATCATGTTCAATTGTATCATCTATTTCATCTTGCGGAAGGATTCTTGTATATTGCCAACAATTAAAAATTGTTTGTTGTGTTACAGAATTCCAAGCATTTTTACTAAAATTAATAGCATCATAAATATTTAATAAAGTAATTTCTTTTCCCAATTCTTGTGAAATTTCATATGCCTCAATCCTATTTTTAACAAGTAATTTTCTGTATTGT